AATTAAATGGAAATGTGAGGCCTACTCAACTGATTGTGGGCAATTTCAATTAGATTAAGCGAAATTGGATGACTAAATCTCGTATATATGATCTGCTGGCAGTCTTGAAAGTCTACTTATGGACAAAAATATCTTATTTTTCGAATTGATTATTGTTTTCGTGACTACCAGTAAATCAGTAGTATGGGGTGTATTGACCCAATTCCGTTTAAGGTGATGAAGGACTGGTAGAAGCAGAATTGTCCCACAATGACATGAGTTGAGCTGACGTTTCCATTCAATTTCCCAAAAGTTGTTTTCATCCAAGCACCAGTGGACTGCAGTTTTGACCTCGCATCAACTGGTCTTGTCAACACCCTCCGCGGGAGTCGAACCGGGAGTCGTGGCAATGTAGCCGAGTGGTTAGCGTGTCAAGCGTGTCTCGGTTCGACTCCCGCTGAGGTGTTGATAAGACCAGTTAGTGCGAGGTCGAAAGTGCAGTCCGCTGGTGCCTGGATGAGAACAACTTTTGGGAAAGCAAGGCAATGTGGAATTGAATGTAAACGTCAGCTCAACTCATATCATTTGTGGGAAAATTCTTCTTCTACCAATCCTTCATCGCCTTAAACGAAATTGGGTGAATACATCTCATAGAAGTATGTTAAACACGTCACTAAAAATTAAATAGTCACTCATTTGTCTCACTCCTGCCTTCTCCTTCAGTCAGTTCTAAATTATCAAGCCACATTCATTTTAGAGCCGCCATTATTTCGAATGAGATTGTGTGCATGGAGTGCTGGGAACTGATGAACATTCAAAAGTCAAAACATTCGTTAAGAACATCTCCTTTCCTCGATTTGACCTTTCATTTCAAGGCAACACACTTTTCCAAAGACACCTGAGACTGAAGTGGGCAATGTCCTACAGACTTGTTGCTGTCATACTGCGCCAACCACTCATCCACTCTTCAGTCTAATCCGCCGTAACAGAAATCGTCAGAGCCAGAGAGCCTCACTTTGCTCACTTTGCTCAATTTCACCAATTCGCCAAACCAAAAAACTCGCCGGCTGCAAACAGTGGCCAACCAATTCATGAAAATATCGCTTTATTATCGCAAAATAAGGCCTACCAATTTTGATATGCTGTGACGACAACAGTCACATCGGAACGGATGACAGTCGGACTCGTGCAACGGTACACCGTGGACTTGTTCACTCACTCCAGGCGTATCATATGCCTTCTGGGCAAATCTGATTTCGACGCGAGAAGAGGTGAAGTGTGAATCCCGTCGGTGCAATATTTGCAAAGAAGGCAAAACCACACTGAACCCCACCTTTTAAAGCAGCCGCCGAAACCCAGCTTTGCTTCAGTCGGCCATTCGGTTCACTTGTCACACTCGCCACTTTCGTCACGTCCGCCTCTCCTTTTTTTCCACTCGAATGCACTCGCCTCTTGCGTCACCTCAACCTGACCTCGTGGATGATCGACATTCGGCAGTGGATATTGTCTGCTCATGTGTCCATTCACCTATGCATACCTCTATTTACCG